AGGAGTGTCCAGAGGTGGAACCAGCTGAGTTTCTTCTGGTGGTTAGGCAGCCCAGATGGTCACTCCCACCATGGAGGAGGTATGCTGGAGGTTACGAGGGCCATCTGGGGATAGCAACACAGCTGCTGTCACATAATCTCAGTGCTCACCACTGTTAGCTTAGAGTTGGGAGAAAATGTAGAAATCTGAGCATTTTAAAATGAAAAGAAATGAGAATTAATTTTTAAAGATCTCTTTAAACTATTGAATTAATTTCACCAATTTGGCTTTTCTTTTAAAGATCTTTTATTAACAAAAAGTAAAGTTTGAATTAGAAACAAGCACAACACAAAGTAACACACCCACAGATGCCTTGATAGTAATGACACCTCTGCAATGGAATAACAAATTTATTCACAATGCATTCGTGTTTTTGAGGGGATCTCTGTGATGCTTAACTTGTTTGAGTAAACAAACGAATGAAGTTTATAAAAACAATACATTAAAAGCAAGACAGTCTTCAGGTAAGGAAACTTAGTTTTAAGACAGCACAGGTAGGTGTGGTGGCACATATATGTAATCTTAGCACTCAGGAGGCAGAGGTAGTGGGATCAACACAAGTTGGAGGTTGGTTCCAGAAAGGTATTGTGTCCTGAGGCTGTAGTTTAGGAACAAAACCACGCATACCTACAGTCTCTTTCAGGCATCTGTGTATCACGGTAAGTTAATCATAGCTGCTGTGATAAAAGCAGGGGCCTCTGTCATCCCTCTGGTTCTACTGGGAAATGGGAGACAGAGACAGGAGAATCCCTAGAAGATCAGGGGCCACCTTCCTGGAGTCTAGGGAGGCCAGACCTTGTCTCAAACAAGGTAAAAAATAAGTAGAGAAGCCAGAGGTTATCTGGCTATGGTGGCATTTGGGAGGCAGTGTCAACAGACCTCTGGGAATTTGAGGCTGGCCTGGTTTATGTGGCTAATTCCAGGTTAGCCAGGCCTATAAAGTGAGACCCTGCCTCAAAAGTAACAAGGTCAGCCTGCTATATGTAGCTTGTCCCAGGCCAGCCAGGCCTATAAAGTGAAACCTTCCTCAAAGGATGGAAAGATGAGTCAGTGGGTAAGAGTGTTAACTGCCCTTTAGAGGACCTGGGTTCAGTATCCATGATCCACATCAGGAAGTTCACAGCCACTGTAACTCTAGTTCCAGGGGACAGACTGTCCTCTGTCCTCACGGCACCTGTGCGATCACGGTGCACACAAATTTGCAAGGGCACACAGACATACAAAACTGATGGTGCACTCAAACTTACTGCAAGCGCACGCGCGTGTGTGCACATGCACACACACACACACACACATCTTTTAAACAACAACAAAAATCCCACAGGGTTGGCTGGGTGTGGTGGCACACCCTTTTAATACCTGCACTCAGGCAGATCTCTGTGAGTTCCAGGCCAGCCTGGTCTACAAAGTTCCAGGATATCTTTTGGTCCCTGATTCCCTAGTTACAACTATCTGTTTACTTTCTTCTTATAGTTGATAGATGAACTGCTACAGAAACAGATGCTCTAAGGCCATATTGTGCTTAAATCATCAATTTCTTTAAAGTCTCCACTCTTTGAGTGCTATAGTTAGGCTACAGACACAGGTAAAATTGGGAACTGCTCTGTGGGAACTGAACATTACACAATCCGGAGCACTCATTAAGGAATACAGGAGGAGGTATAAAACATAATATTTTATTTAGAATTTAAAATGGCTCTCAAATCACACATTTAAAAACCTCACAATATTTTAAAGTTAGTTAATTCCTAATAGGTCTATGTGATACTTCTTTCCTTTACACTTTTGGTTTATATGCTTGAGTTTCTTTTTCAAAGGGTCAATTTTTCTTGCTATTTTTGGTTTAGGAGGTGCTTTCCAGTGCAAAAACTACTACTGGGGAAGTCACATGCATTTTTCTGATTTAGTTTTTTCACATTTGGAAAATGTATTTGCTTCCTTTGAGATGCAAAGAACGAAGATGTAGGATTTGTCAGGGGCGACATCCCTTTACTGAACTGAGCAGTCTGAGCCCTAAAATGCTTTCAGACTATTCCAGTTCTGCCAGACACGAGAAGAATTATGATAAAGGAGAAGTGAAGATGAAAAGAGACAAGACTTGAATTAGTACAGGCTGCATGGACTGGTGGATTACATGCAACAGAAACTCATTTCTCATGGTTCTAAAGGTAGGAAGTTCAAGATCAAGGGGTTAGCATGTTTGGGCTTGGGTGGGCCTCTCTCCAGGTTGCAAATTGTTTTCTTTATTTTGGTATGATAGAAAGAGCATAAAAGAACTCTCCTGGGTCTCTGTCCCAGCATTTTTTCTTAATCCCACTCATTAGGACTGCATTCATGATTTATGATTCTCTCTAAGGCCTTGTCCCCTGTAACACCTCATATTGGGGTTTAGGTTTCTAACCTCTGAATTTTGGGGGATCCTAAACACTCACTCCACAACATATTTCTTGTAACAAAAAATTTTACTTTTGAAACTTTCATAAATGTACAAAACCACAGGGATATGCCTCTGGGCACCTCTATGGGTCTGGGAGGCCTCTGAGATTTAAATTTCTTGAAATATGCATTTGGGTTTTGCTCTGGATAAGGGTCGGGATAAACACCTACAAACTTGATCATATCCACAGAAAAAAGGAGACAACTGAGGGAAGGTTAGGACATGTGTGACCTGAAGGGCCACATAAACACCCTGAGAAAGTAACCACTAAGTGCTTGGAGTCCTGTGAGATAAAAGTATTTGATTAATTTAAAAGGGAGACTTTTGACTGTTAAGCTGGTTGACTAGTTCAGAATTCTTTATCGGAATGAGTGGGACATGGAAAGACTCAGATCCAGGCAGCAGACTTATCAGGGGACAATCCACACCGATAGTGGTGGCAGTTAGACTTTAGAGTCTTACAATATTAGGATGATTTTTGCAATACAAATTTTGAGCAAAGTAAGTTTTTGTCACTTCAGTCACTGTGACTGATATATTGAAAGTTTTAGACAGTTGAGACTGCTTTCTAAGAAAACAAAACAAAACAAAACAAAAACCCAAACAACAACCCAGGGTATCCAGTTTAGCTCTATTCATTTATATACATTTTAGTTAAAAAACAGGTTGTGGCAATGACTAATCAATATGGGGTGCTGAAGGTTGCAGGTGCAGGGCTGCTGGGTCTAAATTGTAGAGACTTATTGGTTCATGGCATCCCATGGGATTCCTACTATAGACGAGGCTGACCCCAAGTCCAGTCAATAGAAACTGGAATTGAGCCTTTGGTAGGATGTGATCCACCAATGATGCCTGTGATGATAAATCCAAGGACAAAGGCATCGTGGCTTTTCTTGTGACCTGTGACGGAACATAAGTGAAACTGATTTGAAATAAAAAGGGAGATGATTTGACACGTTTGCCTCCGTCCAGGTCCAGACACCTCTTCTTCATCTCAACCTTTCTTTCCTAAGTTGGCTTCTTGGCAACATGGTCCTTGTTGTCTGGCTTAGATCTTCCAGATTTAATTATACTAGTTTTATATTTTTTGAACAGATAGGAGGAAAGCCTCACACTGAATTTTTGGGCTAATATATCCAGCCCATAGTCAAACACTGCGATCTAGAAGACAACCACAGGCTTGTTGAGGGGTCTGACAGTGTTCAGGAACCACAGGCTTGTCGAGGGGTCTGACAGTGTTCAGGAACCACAGGCTTGTCGAGGGGTCTGACAGTGTTCGGAACCACAGGCTTGTCGAGGGGTCTGACAGTGTTCAGGAACCACAGGCTTGTCGAGGGGTCTGACAGTGTTCAGGAACCACAGGCTTGTCGAGGGGTCTGACAGTGTTCAGGAACCACAGGCTTGTCGAGGGGTCTGACAGTGTTCGGAACCACAGGCTTGTCGAGGGGTCTGACAGTGTTCGGAACCACAGACTCATTGAGGGTGAGGGAGCGATCTGAATCACTGTTACTAGGAAAGGAGAGTTAGGGAGATTCATAACACTGAACACACATTCAAAAAGTATGCGTGCCCATTACTTGGGTGAAGATGTATTGTTTTACTTCCTGCATAAACATAGTTAAGATACAAACCAGGCAGCTCTTTCCCATGTCTACATAGGTACCATGTAAGTACTGTGAGGCATAGTCTTATATTTCAGCATTGCACATTTTTTTTTTCTAAAATGAAGCTGACTCAAAGAAAAGGCTGCAGAAGAAACACATGGAAAGCGCCAAGTATCTATACAGCAAAATTTAGTTTTTAGTATCCTCTCTAAGCCAATTGCAATTTTACTGATACATTTTTCATCTTGACCCCACCCCGTGTATGTGACATATGTGTTACTGCCTTGTCCTTACAGATGGGGAAACTGAGGCATGACGCCCCTGACTCGGTTTTCGGGTAGAATTTAGGGACAAATTTGTCTCCATGACCTCAGCGAGTCCTCTTTATCCTTCGCGATGCCTCTAGGAATGCTCATGTCCTTTGCTCGGCAGCCTAACTCGTCCTCCGCCCAGCAGCACCCGCCCCGCTCTGGAGCGCCGTCCTGAGGGAGGTCCCGCTGCCCGGGTCTGGCCGCTTCTCCCGGGCTCTGCTCCGGCAAGCTCCCGGGTCCCCGACGTGCAGGCGGCCCCCGGCCCAGCGCCCCCAGCGCGGTGCGAGCAGATGCCGCCCGGGCGTCTAGCGGGCACGGGGGAGCAACTGGAGGTGAGCAAGTCGGCCAGGGACCCGTGGCGAGGCGGGGGAGGCGGGCGACAGTGAGGGGACGCGGGCGGCTGGTGCGCGGCTCACGGGCGACGCCTGGAGTGCGAGCGGAACGGGCGCCCGGGGCCCCGAGCAAGCGCGGGGAGACATGGCTCCGCGCGTCCCCGCCGCCGCCGCTGACTCGACACAATCGGCGGGTCGCGCGGCGTAACCGCGGGTGGGCGGCGGCGCACAGCCGCCTCGAGAGCTCCGAGGGTCGTTGCGGCGTGCGAGGATGCCGGCTCAAAGGCGAGCCGGGGACGGCCGCTGAGACGCCCGCCGGCCCCGTCAGCGGAGTGGGCTCCGTGGCCGCGGCCGCCGCAGCCCTGAGCGGCAGGCTCGCCCGGTCGGCCGCCTTCCCTGCGGCGCGCACTGGCGGCTCGCGGCGATTGCGGGGCGCGCTCCCGCCTCGGCCGGGTCCCCACCCTCAACCCGCCCGCCTGCCCAGGTGAGTGCGCGGCCCGTGCTCCGCGCCCGCGCCGCAGGTAGCGGGCGGCGGCTTTGTCTCGCTCCCTCGCGCCCTGGCGCGGTCATTCATTTGACATTCTGCTCCCGAAGCGCCGCGGACTGGTGGCGCCGGACGCGCCTGCTGATTCGGTGATCCCCAGGAACTGGGACTTGGGGGCTCATGTGAGCATCACTGGAGGGAGAGGAGGCTTCGTTTGCTTTCTGTTTGGAATGTGTGGTGAGCATCCTCTGCTTTAGCTTGAGGCCTGGAGGAAACCCGGGCTGCAGATTTAGACGTAGACGTTTGGGAGGACGTGCAGCTGCAGAGGTCTGGCTCCTTATGCCTTGTCTCCTCCGTTAGCGGTGCTCAGATGCTTTTGGTTTATTATGATTAATTTTAGGAACGCCGTCACAGGCACAGTTATTTCTTTTCGAGTTGGGAGTCTTTGGAGTCAGCCCAGAGAGCTCACGAGTACAGTTATAAGGGTTCAGTCAATAATAAACTTGGAAAAGGACAGCGTCGGCTATCCTATGGACGGAGGTGGACAGGAGGCAAACTTCACCTCGGCCTTTAGCCTTTGTGGATAAGATTACTGCTTTGCCGTTCTAGAGTCATGCAAACTTGGAATTCTTGTACGTATGCCTTTGCCGAAGTGTACAAGTTGTTTTTATTTTTTCTTGAAAATTTTTGGTGTACTTTGTCATTTAGAAGAAAAATTGAGTAATCAGCAGTCGTTTATTAGAAATTGTGAAATCTGGTGTATTAGTTTGCCGTGTAAATATGGTTTTCTTTTTACTGCTTCTCCTATTCCCTAAAGGGCTCATTTCTTCTATTGCCTAGAGAGTCAGTCAGCCTCTCCCCCCCCCCCAACAGATGGCTTTATGTGCCAAGAGGTTATCTTTAAAATGTCACTCACATTACTTACAAACAAAGGGAGCTTAGTTCTGAAGTTTGTCTCTGGAGTTGTGAGAGCAAGAGTCCTAATCTGATGGGGATGTTGTTAATGGTGTCAGGATCTGGATGCTGCTAATCTGTGTGGTCATCAGAGGATTCCTGCAGAGATTGTTTATACAGTGTGGGACAGATGGTGTCCCTAGCAGACAAGAGGAGCCAGGCAGAAAGGGGCATTGCCCACTTCAGAAATTGCCACTGTATTACCAAAGTGAGGCATGAGGTGAGAAAGACATCATTTTGACCTCTTAAAGGAGACATTTGGTATCCAGCAACCTACATCATTTCTTCCTTTTCCAGGGTTAAGAACCCATGATTGAACTGTTTGTTTTATTACTACATTGGCATAGGGTTAAACAGTTGCAGGGACACAGATGCCTTAGAACTTAAAAAGTATCTTACCACTTTGGTGATGGGGGGAGGTCCTTGCATAGATTTGGCACCTTGGACTCAAAATGTCTCCAAGCTGCAAGGACTTTCCTATTATCTACATCAGTTTGAATTTGTTTCTTTTTTATCTCCTTAGCAAGTGGTTTCCTGACCTCCAGAGTTTGACACCAAACATAGTATCTATGAACATTACTTCCATGATGATTTACCTGTCCCTAGACATTTGCTTCATGATGACACCCATCATAGGTTGGGGTGCCTCCTGGCAGGAGATCTTTGTGAAGCATGATAATGTCAGTCATTGTAAACATTGAATACTTCAGCTGTAGGCTTTCTGCTTCTGTAGATTTCATGCTCTAGGACTGCAACTTGATCAAGCATTGGCTTTCCCTTGTTATGAATGTGAGGGGAAATATTTTAGCAAATTGATTGCTTACCAGCCACGAGACTAAAACGTGATGATCAAGTGGTGGTGTTTGACAGAGCTGAACCAGAGGCTTGAAATAAAGAGCTCAACTCTGGAGAACTTGGGCAGTGTGCTCTAAGAAGGAAAGCACTCTTTCTTACACTTTCCAGAATCTTTTGCTCCACGACATTGACCTCAGCAAACAAAAAAGAAACCCAAGTTGTTACTGTATTTGAGGACAGATACAGTGATTTTCTTTCTTGGAGACTGTGTTTTGTAGGCAGGGGGTGGCTTTGGGGCTCTGCCTGGTGTTGAATGTACTCTATTATCAATACAGTGATCTGATATCTTAAATCCTTGCTATTCAGTCTGTGTCCGATGTCCGTGTCCTCTTGTGGTGACCGTCTCCATTGTGAATTGCTCCTTTAAAAGGAAATATGCTCCTGGGTTGGGCTTGCCTCTGACCTGGCCTGTTGTGCTGCTCAGTAGTGAATTGCTACCTGCTTAATGGGGTGGGGTAGGGTGGGAATGAGGTGTGTGTGGGGGGTGGGAGATGGGGGAGTGGGGATGTATGAGTGATGGTGGAGGTGGTGGTATGTCAGATAGGTACTAGCAGCTTAAGATACTTTGTTGTTACTAGGCCTGGCATGAAGTTCAGTGACTCCAACTGGGGTGGGGGTGGGGTTATGGGGGGGGGGGAAGCTGCCCAGGAAGCCACATCAGAATGTGAATGCTATGAAGGAGAGGGTACAATGGTGACCAGACCTTCAGGTTTGCCTGTGATGTTGCCATTTTGTCACTACCAACTTATCTCCACTTTTAAAAAGGATTCTGGAATGGATGATAAATTACATGATCACTGTGTAAATCAAGGTGTCGTGGTTATTTATATTCATTGGCCCTCTCTTGACCCCAGCTTTCCTTTCGCTTCTTTGTTTGAGACAGGGTCTCATTATACAGCTTAGGTTGGCCTTGAATCTGAGGTTCTCTTGTTTTAGTGTACCAAGTACTGGGATTTCCGGTGTGTACCACCATTCCTGGCTAACATCAGGTTTTGAGCTTGCTTAATGTCAGTCTTTTACTTTTTGAATATTTAGTAAGAAAATAAGAAGACATTTGAACCTGAAAAATACAAAGGAAAAAGACATAGTAGGGAAGATAAAATGTGATCTCTTTACACATGTAGAGAAAAGCTGTGCTAAGTCATTGAGTGTCTGTCCTGGTTCTAAGTCCCTATTAGTGTCTTCAAGACAAGAATTACCACTTGTCCTTTAGTTAAGGCTGACACAAATTGGAATTACTCCTGTGATTTGGGAGGACAGTTGCTCCAAAACTTGCCTATAGATTGAATGTTTACATTGTGCTTACACACATGAATGCCTATTTTACCATCTAGTGTTAGACACAGTTCTTGGATATTTACCGGGAGTCCAGAACACAAACGCTCCTGTATAGTCTTGACTCCACATTCTTGTGGTTTCCCAGGACAATAGGGGAGCTTTTGTTTTCTGTGCTCTCTTCTGTCTCCAGTTGGATTCTGGGCTCAGCTTTTCCCAGGGAGCATATGAGAAAATACTTGGTTCATCTCTCCATCCTGTGCAGATTTTAATTGCACAAGTAACCTGATGAGGGTTTGGGTTTTGCATATATGAGGTTTGAGGCACTTGCTTTTGTGACTTTTGCTGAAAAAATGTGCCCGTTTGTAACGGTTCATTTGTAGTGCTGGCCTGTAGGTATTACTATGGTTGTCTACCTTCTAGCACAGTCCACCAAAGTCCTTAACAGCTTGGTCAGCATGTCTGAATATGAATAAAATTTACTTTTCTCCTTTATAAATGTGATGACTAAGTAACTTTTTTTTCAACCAGGGACATTTTTTTGTGTGTGTGAGTAAAACGTGGTGCTAACTGGAAAGAGCACCAAGCCAACCTACTGGACGGGCTCAGATTTTCAAGTTACATTTCTTGCTGCTATGATCAACTATCTGACTTAAGGAAGGAAGGAAGGAAGGGTTTATTAGGTTTATAGCTAAATGGAATATAGTCCATCATGGCGGGGAGGATGGCATTTTCCGAGGTGGTTGGTTACGTTGTATCCACAGGCAGGAGTCGGAGAGTAACGTGCATCTGACTTTGTCCTTTCTATTCAGGCTGGAACCCCAGCCCACGGAATTGTTCATCTATAGTTAGGGTGAGTTTTCCCATCTCAATTCCCATGTCACTTAAGCCTGTCTGGAAACCCCCTTCCAGGTGTGACCTGAGATTCCTTTCCACGGTGATTTAAATCCTAGTAAGCTTACAGCCAAGATTAAGCATCATACCAGGTAAACTAGCATGTATGGCCATCCTAATGGTGATCCAAATCGTGGACTTGGGAAGCTGGAGATAGCTCAGCAGGTGAGAGTGCCCACTATTCTTGCAGATGACTTAGGTTTGGTCCCTAGCACCAAATCAGGTGGCTCACAACCAGTTCCAGAGGATCCAACATCACCTTCTGACCTTCACAGGCAAATTGACACAAGTGGTGCACACAAATCTAGGCAAGCACACATACACACATGTATAAACCATGTTTTATATACACATGAATAAAAAGAGTAACTAAGTGTAAGAAGAAAAATGTGAACTTGGGTCTTTTATGTGGCATTGGTTGGCCTGGAACTTGAGGCTCTCTAAGTGCTAGGATTATAGGCATACACTTCCACACCTGGATTTCAGGTTGCTAGCTTTTATAATGAAGTATATCCACCTGGTGGAAAAATATCCTTAGTTTCTTCTGGTTTGATGCCACTTGTATGTTTATGTGTTTGTTTGCATATATCGACAGAATGTCTGTAAATATGTCTAATTGTGTGGATAAAAAAAAGCTACCAAGAAGTCGTGGTCATTTGAAACTTGCATGTTTAATTTCTTTTGTGGATTGACTTTTTAAACTAATTGTCTGCATTTAGTTTCTCCAAACTTTGAATCAAATCCCTATCTTGTCTGGTTTTAACACCACTTGTTGCTATGCTTTTGCTTAAAATTTCGATAGCTTATGATTTTTCTGTTTAAGTCTTAAAGAAAGATCCACACACAGATTGGTGGTAACAGAGAAAAAGAAAGAATTTCACTTATTGATTCAACTGGGTTTTTATGAGTTAGTGTCTGATATTGGTGCTGGTTATATACCAGATACTAAAACAAGGAATGCCAACCACGCAGAGTTTTCATTCTGTTGAGGGCCAGAACAGGAAGTCAAATAAAAAAGAAAA